AGCGAGGGTGGCGCCGCGCGGGCAGGACGCGGGTGGACGCGGGTGGACGCGTGTCCCTCCCGCTCGCAGCACTCGAGGCGCTGTGTGCGCCTGCGGGGGAAGCCGTGAGACTTTCCTGCCCGCCCTCAGCGGTCGGGGTGAGATCTGTGGCTTTGCTGCCCTCCTGACTCGCTGTTCCTTTCGCAGATGTGATACAGCTGCGGTTTGCCTGGGATTTCTGCCTCTTCGGCTCTCATGGCTCACATCACCATCAATCAGTATTTGCAGCAAGTAAGCAAGATCTTTAGTGGATTTTATTTCCTGCGATTCATTTGCTGTTTGAGTCTGGGGGTGGATTTTGTTTTGCTGTCAGTGTGTTATTTTGTTTAAGAAATATATCAACATGAGAGTTCTGGGTCCCTCACTTCAAGAAGGACATTGAGGTGCTGGAGCAGGTCCAGAGAAGAGCAACGAGGCTGGTGCACTCGAGCACAAGTGCCATGAGGAGAGGCTAAGGGAGTTGGGATTGTTTAGCCTGGAGAAGTGGAGGCTCAGGAGAGACCTTATCACCCTCTACAACTTCCTGAAAGGAGGCTGTGCCCAGGTGGGGTCTGTGTTTTCTCCTAGACAGCTAGCAAGAGAACAAGAGGACTGTCTCAAGCTGCACCAGGAGAGGTTCAGGTTGGACATTTGGAGGAATTTCTTCCCAGAAGAGTGATTAGACACTGGAATGTGCTGCCCAGGGAGATGGTGGAGTCATCATCCCTCAAGGGATTTAAGGAGAGACTGGATGAGGCACTTAGTGCTGTGGTCTAGTTGTCATGGTGGTGTTAATTCATAGGTTGGACTTGATGATCTCAGAGGTCTTTTCCAGCCTGATTGACTCTGTGAATGATGTGGTAAAGAAACTTATTTCTCCAGCCTGCTCTAAGCACTCTGAGTGCAAAGGATGTACACCTGGAGCATGTGGGAAGTGTGATGGTTTCTGACACAGTGCATAGAGAGGTGATTTATCTGTAAGAATAGACATAGAGGGACCCTGTGTGTGGTTATAGTAACAGATGTCGCTCAGGGATTCAAGAAATCTAGGGTTTTAGGATGTACAGGAATGCAGAGACGCAGAAGGTGTAGCATGGGAGATGGAGAGACAGCAGCAGAGTCACAGGGCACTGTGTGTTCATGATGGACTCAAGTCCATGAACGGGAAGTGCCAAGAGGATGATCAGACTCTGCTCAGTGAGGAAACCAAGAAAACAAGAGGGAACAGCAAAAACTGATGCCCAGGAAGTTCCACCTGAACACGAGGAAAAACTTCTTTGCTGTGCAGTCACTGAGCACTGAACAGATTGCCCAGAGAGGTTGTGGTTTCTCCCTCACTGGAGATATTCCAGACCCATCTGG